GGAAGACAAACGCAATTTCCCACTAATTTATAAAATGTGATACATTCATTCAAAGAGCTCATGTGTTCCAAGCCATGTGCTGGAAACTAGAGGAAGAGAAATGCTAGTCAGCTATGTACTGGATGCTAGAGAAATACAAAAATGCGTAAGATAAATTCCTACTTCAAGCTAGTGGGAGGTTTCCACATCTGCCAATGCACACCAGAAAGTAACGATATAAAGGGCTGAGGCATTTTCCAAAATAAGGAATATCAAAAGCAGGAAGCCAAAGCTGCTTTAACAGTTGGAGAACCCAATTTCAAAAGAAAAAAGTTTCAGTTAATCTTACAGGAAAATTGTTTCATTAAGTACATTTCAGGAAGCTCAATTTCTTTATAATAGGATATCCTAGAGTTCTCATTTAATTTCCAAATTGTGCTAAACAATTATAATTTCATAATTCTTAAAAAAAAGAAAATTTGATTTTATTCAACCATCATTAACTAATACCATCATGAAATAAAACCAAGAGCCAACTCTTATATTGGGCATTTCTAAGAATACTTCAAAAAACTTAACAAAACTAGAACACAGATTACAAGTTAAGGAGGACAAACTTCTGATTTATCTAGCACTGATTTAAATATTAATGAGATTAAGAATTATCCATTCTAATGTCAAAATTCTAGGTGGGATTATATCCAAAATAAATTTAAATAATTTGTGAATCATTAATTAGGATTCTCAAATTTACCTACTAATCACAAAAGCAGTACTTCTGAGTATTCTGGCATACACCAGGGCCAAAAGGATACTATAAAACTCTTGACAAATTCCAAACTGGCACTGTAGTTAACCAGATTTTATATGACTGTTTTCAAGATGAATTTTATTCATTTCATATTTATTAAGAATTAAATATTTCACTTAGCTGTTGGTGACTCCATTGAAGTGTTTTTCTTAAATAACTATTGGGACTCCCACATTCAAGAAAATGGAGTAAATGTATTTTACACACACACACACACGAAATACAGGAGACTGAAAAGTCAAGACTAAGGACTAGCTAGTAACTTAGGACCAAAAGTAATGAGTTCCCTGGATTTTCTGGATACTAGAAAAGCTAGCAACTCTGAAGTACCAATGGGCACAGACAAAATGGGAAAAACAAAAAAGGTACTCTAACCAAAGGATAAGGGGCATCCTAACAAGACAGAAAATTTTTAGACAATAACCACTCTATTCCAGTCAAACACCACATATAAAAACTACTGCACCTACTCCCCACCCACATCAGCAATGGTCAAGTAGACACCTTAGACTTCTACTCTTGCCAGACCATAATGATGCACTCCAAACCCCTCCTGTCAGGGTGGTGTCAGAGCAGGCCAAATGGGAAGCCAGGAATTTCCTCCTGAGCCCAGAATCTCATCCACACCCAGCAGTAACAAGGAACCCTATCCTCTTCTTGTTGGGGAAGTAGCAGAGACTTACTAGAGAGGCAGCACGTTCACCACTCAGCAGCGATGAGCGCACACCCTCCTGGTTTCATGAAGACCACGTAAGTGGTCTGGCATTCCATCCTCATGATGTGATTAAAACAAGGAGCTCCTTCCCCTCCTCACTGGATGGAAACAGAAACTAGTGGAGTAGGGATTTTTCACCACTGCTCAAGGGTAACTTTCCCACATCAGTGGAATATACATAGGTAGCAGTTATGAAAGGTGGCCCAACCAGGATGCTATCAGTAGAGACCTAGTGGGGAGCCTGAACCCCCACCTCTACCCAGCAGTTACAAAGAGAGAAAACCCCTTCCATCCTCTTCACTGGTTGTCTGCCAGAGGTTCAGTGGAGAACCTGGACTTATACCCTCAACAGCAGTTAACAAGACAGTGCCACGTTTCGTCCACCAGGATGGCGTAAGAAAAGCGTGATAGCACAAGATTTAAACAAAATGCAGTTAATAACCAAAATGTCCAGGGTGTCCAGGTTTCAGTCAAAAATCACGCATAAAACCAAGAATCAAGAAGACCTCAAACTGAATGATGAAAAACAAATGTCAACACCAAGATGGCACAAATGTTTATATTATCAAAGATGTCAAAGCAGGTATCATTAAAATGTTTGAATAATAAACACACTTGAAACAAATTAAAAAATAAAGTCTCAGCAATGATATAAAAGATATAAACAAATGAAGTTTTGAGAACTAAAAATTACAATAACTGAAAAAAATCAATCAATGGCAGAATGTGTAAGAGAGAGGAAATATTCAGTGAGTTAGAAAGAACATACAATTATACAATCTGAACAACAGAAAATAGACCAAAAAAAAAAAAAAACAAGAAACAAAAAACAGGCTCCAGGAATTTGTGGATTAAAAAAACCAAAATCTCATATTTGTGTCACAAGAGACTCAGGAGGAGAGGAAAAAGATGACAAGTTAAAAGGTATTCAAAAGGGCAACAGTGAAAATTCCCCAAAATTGGCAAAAAACAAACAAAGATTCACAGAGTGATCTCCAAATAGGATATACTCAAAGGAATACATGCCACGACACATCACAGTCAAACTTCTAAATACTGAAGACAAAAGAAAAATCTTGAAAGTAGCCAAAGAAACAATGCATTACCTGTATAAGAAAAACATCTTGAATTACAACAGATTTTTCATCAAAAAGCATGGAAGCCAGAAGGAAATGATACAACATTTTTCAAGTGCTAAAAGTTACAACCCAGAAGTCAATATCCAGGGAAAATATGCTTCATGAATGAAGGGGAAAATCAAAACATTCTCAGAGGAAGGAAACAAAGAAAATTTGTCAATAGCAGACCCACCCTAAAGTATTAACATAGTGAACTTCCTTTTTCATTATTTTATTCATGGATTGAAAGACTCAACATAGTATAAAGATGCCAATTCTTCCTCAAACTGATATACAGGTTTAATGCAACTTCTATCAAAATTCCAGCAGGGTAGATAGAAACAAGATTATTCTAAAATGTATTCAAAAAGACAAAAGAACTAGAAGAGTCAGAACAATAACGATAAGCAAGTGAGAGGAATCACTGTACATGATTTCAAGACTAATTGTACAGCCAAGGTATAAAGACTATGTGTTATTGGTGGAGAGACTAAAACAAATCAGTGGAATAGAGAAGCTAGGAATACTTCTCAAAAGTATGACCAGTGGATTTGTTACAAAAGAAATTCAATGGAGAAAAAAAGAGTCTTCTCAAAAATTGGTGCTAGAACTGAATAATGAGAGATTTAAATGTAAAATTATAAAATTTGCAAAAAATAATATAGGAGAAAATCTTCAGGATGTAGGACTTGCTGAAGAGTTCTTAAACATGACACCAATAGGATGACAATAAATAAAAAATAAATTGGACTTCATCAAAATTAAAAGATCCTGTTAAAGGATAAAAGGCCCTCATGGTTTCATGAGGCAAGCTAAAAGGCAGCCTACAGAATAGAAGAAAATATTTGCAAACCACATATATGACCAAGGACCCACACCTAGAATAAAGAACTCAAAATTCAACAGTAGAAAAATAGTAAATAGGCAAAAGAAATGAAGAAACATTTTAACAAAGAGAAAAAGTGGATGATAAACATATGAAAATATGTGCAACACCATTAGCCATTAGGGAAATGTAAATTAAAAACTATGATGAAATACCCCTACCAGAACAGCTAAAATAAAAAATAATACCAAATGTTCATGAGAATAAGAAAAAAAAAAACTGTTCTCTCATAAACTGCTGATGGAAGTACAAAATGGTACAGCCACTCTGGAAAATAGTTTGGCCATTCCTTTTTTAAAAACTAAACATATACTTACCATCCACCACAGCAATCACATTCCTGGGTATTTATCTCAGAGAAATGAAAACTGTATAAAAACTGGTACATAGTTGTTCTTAACAGCTTTATTTCTAATAGCCAAAAACTGGAAATAATTAAAATGTCCCTCAGTGAGTAAGTATCTGTACAAACTGTGGTACATAAATACCATGGAATATGATTCAGTAATAAAAAGGAACGAATTGCTACATGCAACAACTTGGAGGATCAAGAAAGTTATACTAAGTGAAAAATGCAAATTCCCAAAAGTCATAACATGTATAATTCCATCACAATGGCAAAATTATACAGATGGAGAACAGACTGATGGTTACCAGAGCTTAGGAATGGTGGGGGTAGGAGGGGGAGGGTTGTGTGCATGGTGGTCATGGGGAGCTGGGTATAATTTATAAAAACAGCATGATGGAGAACTCTGTAGTGATGAAATAATTCTATATGTTGATTATAGTGGCAGTTACACAAATCTACAAATGTGCTAAAATGGTACAGAATTATATACACACTGTATCAAGTCAAACTCCTGGTTTGATATTGTACTAATAATTATTTAAGAGGTAGCCATTTGGAGAAAATTGGATATAGAGTACATGAGGACCTCTGTCTACTGTCTTTGCAACTTTAAGCTACAATCTATAATTATTTCAAAATAAAAAGTTAAAAACACAACTATTAGATGATACGCAATAAACTTCTAAAATATTCCTTGGGGGAAAACAAACACCCATCTATTAAATCTGTGTGACTTAAAGAAAATAAAGCCAATTTGCTCTGTAATTTTTTTTTTTTTTGGCTTTGGAGGGAAACATTCTGAAAACACCTTGCTGATGTTTACAGTTGAGAAATTATATCATTATACTATTGGTCTAACATAAAAGTAGATGGCGTTGCTCATGCAAAGGCATTAAAGAGTTAAAATATTTACAAGGTACCTAGATTTGATTGCATTCTTTCTTCAGGGATTAAATTGATTCCACAGTTACCTGTGGTTAATCTAAATACTTGCAAATTTAACTCTAAGAAATACATCTCCTCAAGCTACTTCATATATTAAGATTTCATTTTTGATATGTAAAACATTTGCAATACCAACAAAAGAGAAGTAAAATGAACTAGAGGCCACTTAAAATGAAAAAATTCCTCAAAAACAAAGGTTTTATAGTTCTATGTGTTTACTTGAGATATTTCAATACCAGTAAAAAATATACAAATACACACAGCCTCAACTAGCCAATATTTTAATATACAACGTTAGCTGCTATATAAAAAGTGCTTTCATGATCTGTTACCACTAAAACAACACATCATATAATTTTCAAAAATGTATTCTTTGACTTCTAACCTCTGCTCTTCTTTAGAATTACCTGTGAAGAGGAAAAAATGAAGATTCATATTATACCTATGGCAAATAAAACACAAGTCCTCAACAAAAAGTTAAAAAGTCCTGTGTGTATAATATTCAAGCCTGGGAATTTATAAAACTCAACGTGGAATGTGATTAGGAATCTTTTGCCTTATAAATGGTCTTACTCTGCTCTAAAATAGTCTAATTCACTTAAAGAATGTGAAACATGCCTAGATTCTCAAAATCTGGTTTTATAATGGTCATTTCTAGATGCTAATTTCTTTAATTGTGCCAGAGCATCCAGATTAATGGTTCCCAAATTGAAGTTTATAGACAATTTAGTAATCCAGGGAGTTAAAGAATGTTCCAAAACTTGAAAATCCTACTATATACCAGGCATTTAACAACTACAAAGCAATAAAAATCCACTGCAACACCAAATTTCTTACATTTAGGCTGGAATTATATCAGAGACCAAGACTAGTCATCTCATGCTGTAAAGCTTGTTAGGTAGGTAATTTTCAAGACATGCAGCCCATAAGAGAAATAAAATGAGATCTTAAGTTGTAAAAGATAGGGAACATTAGAGACCAGAGTATATCCAAAATTTTTGTTAAAGAACTTACCTACTTTCAGGTAAGTACACTTATAATTTATTAATAATAACAAACCAATCCTAAATTTAAGATACTGTAACTTTTCAAGCTCTTAAGACTTAGAGCATCCACAGAAAATACTTATATTGACTTTAATAGTCTATAGACTTGTTGGAATGTTTATAAGTGTAAGAGAAAATTTAAAGCTCCCCCCAAAAATGCCAGGGCATGCCAGTTTCTAGGCTTCCACAGAGGACACCAAATAGGTCCATATCCTTGGCCAATACTTCTCTGTTCTACAAGATGTTAGTATGGGTACTGCAAAAGACAATACTATGCACTCAAATGAATTTGCAAAATTCTGAGTATATTAAACACCCAAATTTACAAAATGCTAAGTTAAACAGAGTTCAACAAATTTCTTAACTGCTATGTTTCTCGTAACTTTTCGTAACTTCACACAACTATAGTTACACAAAGATGTTAGCATTGTGGGAAGTTGGATTAAGTGTACAGGAAAACTACACATTTTTACAGCTCCTGGAAGTCTAATAAACAAACAAAGTTTACAAACAGCTAGACTGCCAAAAATAAGTCTCTCTCCCACATCATCCTCCAGTCAACCATATGACAATTTCTTGTACATTCTTACAAAAACAAGCTCTCTATATATTAGCATTGTGACTATTCAAGGAGGTATAGGATGTTAGGTTATATAAACTTATCTGACCCCAGAAGCCTTTTGTGGTAGGGTATCTATTAACATCAAGTAGAAATAATATTGGGAACACATACGGAAAAAACTCTGCACTAGGCATCATATTCTTACATTATATAGAAATACCAGTAAGAAGCAATCTTCTCTGCCTATATAAGTAATTTGATTCATAAGTCACTCAAATCTCAAAACAAATTTAGAAAAATAATTAGGTAAGCTTAAAATGATCAATAAGTAAGTTATGATAAATTTCAAGGTGATAAACCTTCTCAACTACATAGAGGCCACAACAAATCATACAGATTAGCAGCCAAACATTCATCTTCCCTTAAATGGCAATACAGCAATGGCTATGAATCTTTCCATCAGAAATCCATAATACACATATAAAGAAAATCTAACTCTGTAATTAAAATCCATGAAAACCCAAGCATCAATTCAGTCAACAAAACTGAGTAAGGAATCTAAGTCAAGCAGAGATGACGAACCAGGTGTTTTTAAGGTAATTCGTGTTCAAGAAAAAAAAAAAATCCAGATTTTACCTTTGCTGCAGCCAGTACATGATCCTTTTTAATGATCCCACACTTATTCTCACAAGCATTTGTCCGAGATTCTTCTGCTAATCGATGAACAAAAAGTAAACAGTTCAGATGCACCTTTAAAAGAGAAAATTCAAAAGGATTTTTAAACTTGAACATTAATGTTTTGAAATAGACTTCTAAAAATTAGATCCCAAAATTTAATGTTGTACTATTTACTACTGTGATTAAGTCAATTAACTTTAAAATAAGGATTCAATTTAATATAGTTCCATCTTAAAATTCCATAAAAAAGACTTAGTAATTACAAAACATGAAACAAGGCTATGTAAAGCTGACCAAAGGCCACAGAAAATAATATTATTGTAAAGCATCATTATACCAAAACTTAGATAGGACTATTAAGAACAAGTATTCCTGTTTCCCACTCCAACTAAATTTAAGTTTCTTATGTAATTTAAAGTTTCCCCAAAATTAAAAAAAAAACAAACATATCAACAACTTTATTTAAAGCTAACCATCTTTCACTCTACAATCCAAAGGTCTAAAGATTTTTTAACCAAATATTTAATTTGAAATACCTAATCAAAAAATGTTAATGGAAATTTTAAAAGTTTACTGAACTGAAAAGAGTATGTACAAAGGTCAAGTTACTTGTCAATCAACAATATCAAAATAATTGTATCTACTATTAATGGTCTGTAAGGTTCTTTTTAAGAAATTCTAACTAGATAAAATAAGCAGAGAGTACAAAATTCAGAAGTCCACAAAGGACTGTAATTATATAAGATGTGAGAAGGTGGGTAAAAGGTACATGGGAATTCTCTACTTTTTTTGCTATTTTTTGGTGAATCTATAATTATTTCAAAATTAACATACAAAGCAAAAAGTCTACAAAAGGATAGACTGACAAGAGTCTCTCTTCCACATCATCCCCCAGTCAACCACAGTTGCCAGTTTCTTGCACATTCTTACAGAAACAACTTCTACATATAAGCAAAACCCAGGAATCATTATTTAAGCTCACTATTTGAATATGTAGAACATTTTGCTAAACATTTTACTCAAAATTCACTATCCAAAAAGTGCTACTTATTCTATGTACATATACTTTGACAACAAAAAAGAGCACAAAATCCGAGCAAGAGACAATGTACAGTGAGTTGCTGTCCTACCTCAATTCTCCCTCTAGTATCACATCTAGTGCTCTTTTTTAAATTATTGGTAACATCTTCTCCACCCTTGGTTTCTGCCAGGTGCCTGAGGCACTACCAACTTAGGTCCAATTAGATAGTATCTTTAACATATAATTTCTTTGGTCATTTACATAATAGTACACACTTTTTGCAGTTAGAACAATTAATTAATACACAATACTTAACTACTCCCCAATAGTTCACTAAATGTCAAATAATTAGGTAATGTGGTGCTTTAAATTATTTATATTATGCAGAAATCTTTAATGGATTGTTACAGATGTTTAAGAATGTTTTATCTATATTTGCGGAAATTTAAATATAGCAATTTAAATATAGTAAATGATAAAGAACCTATGGAGGAGATATTCTTTTGGTACTTTTTTAATGCAATGTCTTAATTCTCACAAGAACCCTGAGGTATATCGCCCAATCTTGATTTTTTACATTATACCATGTCATTCAAAATTTTTATTTAAGCTTCCAATGATATACCATTTCCTTCTGCAACAAAAACACATTCCATAATATGGCAGAATTTCCTCTAATTTATATTTTCTACTTCTAAAGATAAATAGCTTCCAGATACCCTCAGGATAAATTCCAAGTTCCTTAATACTAAATCCCACATGACTAGGCTTTTCCAATTTCATCTCTCACTTTTCTCAGCTTCCAGTTCTATACTAGGTCTTTCGAACTTCTTTTGTATTCAAATACAACTTTGCCTACAGCCATGCTACTGGTTTGTAGACTTCTCTAAAAAGCCTAACTCCCCCCAGTAAATAAGTTATATAGCTCCACAGCACCCTGAACTTCCTATCACTGAACACGTTATATGTTATGCAATAATTCCTCACCTGTCTTCTTCAATGCACTATAAAGGCAAAACTATGTCTATCTTTATCCCTAGTGACCATTAGCTCATGGTCCAATATGTAGTAAGTAGTCAATAATTATTACTGCATGAACAAAAGAGCCTTCCATATCTCCCCCAATTAGGCAAAAAAAGTAGTCAATTCTAAATAAACCACACTGTTTTGACAGTTGAGACCTCTGCTCTTCATGGGCATGAACCATAGACACTGAATTAATATTACTATTTTTTGAAATCACAGATTTTTGTAAGCAGTCTATTTCTGTCATAAAGCAGTTGAGTGGTGCCACTCAAATACACTAAGATTTAAATTAAAATAGTCAGAAAAAAAACAAATTTTAAGGTTTTAGCTAGACATTCAACCTTGAAAAAGATAAGCCATTTCATCAAGAATTTACTTTAGGGAAAAAAAAAATCAGCTTGCTAGAAAGGTAAATAAAAAGATATCTTACAAAGAAACATCCATTTCCGGACAGTCTCAGTTGACCAAAAAACTGAGTTTCTCCTCTCTTCCTCATAGCGCTTCTGAGTTTTACATAAATCATAAGCACCCAGATATTTGCACAGTATTCCTTAGTGATAAATCTAAAAACTAGTTTGAGCCACAAGAAAGCTGAACAATTTGAGATTAACAGATATACTCACCAGTATTGGCCCTCATGATATACAATCAAATAAGGCATAAAATAAAACAAAAAGCTAGTGCATAAAAATTATGAAAAACCACAAGGAAGTTACTAATAAAATTTTAGAAATATCAATCCATACAGAGTTACCACGCACTCTCAACTTGAACTGTATACTCAGAATGTTTAAGGTATTATGCTAAACTCTAGGAATACAAAAAGTTCCCAATTCAAAGTTCTCAGTCTGAAGGGAGAATGAAACTCGTAAAGAAATTAAAGACAAATGTATGACAATAGATGACAGAGGAAGATGAGGTTGATCCTTTTTCTAAGATGATGAAGGAAGGCTTCACTGAGGAAGAGGCATCTGAACTGGATTTTAAAGAACTGGAGTTTGCAAAGTGGAGTGGAGTGAGGACATCTTCAGGCAGAAGAAATATCTTATGCAAAGAGCATAAACATAGATTAGTTTTGTGTTAAAGATAACATGAGACACAAAAGGTTCCTTCCCCTCAAGAAGCAGCATACCACACTGGGAGACAACACTAATGTATAAAACTCTTAGAGAACAGCATCAAGCTCCCACTAGCTAAACTGTATGATGTACACTCTTACAACTATCAAAGTTCAGGAAAAATAAAAACAGACTGCCTTAACTGTAGAAAAATTTATGGATGATGTGGGACACCTGCTGGGTAAGATTAAGTGCCAGTGGCAAGCAGGAAACCATAAACAAAGAAGCAGTGGTGATGCAGGCATACATAAGACAGTGAAGGAGAAACAGTGAAAGCCAAAGGCAACCGTACAATCCAGGAACAGACGGTGGCCAAAAGAACTTCCTGTCCCTACCACTGCAACTGCTTGGAATCTCACCTCCCCTTCTTTCCTGTACAGCCTGGATCCCACTGTACAACAGAACCCAACAGTCCCTGCGGTCATTTTGGGGCGGGCCTGTGTGGATGTGGAAGGAATCTGACTACTTGAGAAATTTCTGCCCAACAATCTGCACCAGCTGATAGTCTCCTAGATATTATAGAGCAGGTAACATTCCTCCCTCTCCATTTCAAACCCCAGCACCAGTGAAAACTCTAGGATAAATTACCTAAAATTGTTTTAAAAATCAATTACACTTTAATACAGCTCACTTGCGCCACCATTATCACCACTATGGGGGAGGGAATGTAATAAAACAGTATATTATCTTTTCTTACAGGGTCTCAGAAAGGAACAAAAATGGAGGATAGTCGATATTGGAAGGGCTATTTTATGGGGGAAAAAAGCTGCTTTGGCTTCAGAGAAAGGAAAAGTGAAGACAGTTCTATAGAAGTCTATCAAAAATAGAAATACTAAAATTCGGGGAGGCAGTAGAGAAGTGGCAAAGGCTGTAGAGAAAAGAGGAAGGGAGGAGGGATCAAGGTAGATTAAAAACAGGTGGAATGATGCATTCTGAAGACACTCTTCATGTCATATGTCCCTATTATTCACCATTCTTCACCTCAGTCTCTTAGAAATTAGGTGCCCACCTATAATGGCTCCTTTACTCGAAGAGCTCTAATGACAAACCACAGGAGGTGCCTCCTATGGTTTAAACCTAGGGAAACAATGTTCATTCTGCTAGAAGGATATATGTTCCAGGTATTCAATATAGACACTGAATTTATTTCAAAACAGAAATATGATACAGTGGTTTGGTTGTGGTTATTTGTTAGGTGAGCATTCTCTACGGTTATTATGAGTCAGACAAATTTTTAATGGTTTGGCTTGAAAACTAAACTAGCAGGTGTTTTATTTGTCTAGCAAAACCAATTCACAGTTGAGAGGATACTACTTACAAATAAACTTTTGGATCAAGGTTCTTTAGTAAGTAAGCTAAAGTAGAGGAAATAGGGCAACATATTTGGTTAACAACGTAAAAGAGAAGGGTTAGGAACGAAGGCAAGGAGAAAGGCACTTTTAAAGGCAAGTCAGTACTGCCTTTTACAACAGCGAAATGAAAATAACTCAGCCTGAATTCCAAAATCTATTTTAAAAGTACTGTATCTTTCAAACCTTTGCAAATACACGAAGCACAGTACAATACTGATATCCTTGAACAGCGATATTTAAAAATTATAAGCAGAAACTGAATGTTAGTTTTCTCCTTACGTTGATGTGGCTGTAAAAACGTAAAAAACGTCCGGATATCTACATTTCAGCGGGCCCCAAAACAACTTACTGTCAGGAATACAAATTGATACGCCAAGCTGGGGCAAATCTGCCTAGTCATTGCTGGAAACGCCGCAAACTTAGGCCTAAGAGAGCTAGATTGTTTGGCGACGGCGGCGACATAAAGGCTGGGGTTTGCTTTCCCTGTCTGCCCCCCACTCCCCCGCCAGCCCAGGAAGTGACAAATTCTCACCAATAGGTCGCTACTGGTCTCCAGACGAAGGTGAGGCTTCCGTCGCTTAAAGACGCGCTTTAGAAAGCCGCGGGGAGCCTTTCGCTTTATCAGCTTCCTCTGCGAGACTGTGGTCGACAGCGCCATCCTCTCCCTCCCGCACCAGCCGCCTCAGCTTCCCAGGTCCTCCCTGCGCCACACAGATGCTCACGCCCGCGGGGACACAGAAAACCCACCACTCCGACGCTCCTAAAGGCCCAGAGACGCGGCCCGGAACATTTGAATCCGCCGCCAAAGAAGCGCGCCTGGCGCCCGGTAGTGACGTCAGGCCTGATCAAGCCACGCCCCCGGAGGCGCCCGGCTGTTGGTGGGAGGCTCGTGACGTCACGGAGGGGCAAGGATTGGGTTTTGCCTTACGTACTGGCTGTGTGAAAGTTTCTCGTATGTTTCGTAGAGATGTTGGGAGGTCGTGGAAATTGGTGTGCCAAGGCAGCCAGGTTTACTGTCCCAGCTTTCAGTCTCAACTGAGCCTAATACCAGTGGACTAAAAAGTAGATGACTAGAGAAGTTTGTGATGCTTTATCAGAATTCTAAAAGAACCAGTGCCTTCCTAGCAAGGCATGATTTTCTCTTAATAACAGCTAACATTCTTCACTTTTGTGTAATTTTATTTGATCTTACCTGAGGTCTTTTCATGATTCTAGCTTTTCCTTAAAAATGCTGCTCCCTTTAAGGCCCCTCCAGTTAGCCTTGCAATATCTTCAGGTGTAGGTTACGTGCTACTGCATTGAAACCTTCAGTACTTCTACAAGCAATTAACTCTTACATCTTCTGTGCTACCCCAGAAGTAGTTCTCAAACTTTATCATGCGTCACCTGAAGCACCATCCTCTGGTTTCTAGATTCAGTAGGTCTGATTGCGACTTGAGAATTTGCATTTCTAACAAGTACTCAGGCCATGTTGGCACTGCTAGTCAGAGAACTTAGTCCTCAGATTTCTTCTCTATCTACACTCGCTCCCTATATGATCTTACCCAGTATTATGGCTTTAAATACCAAACTTACACTTCCTTCTGATTCTCTTTCCTAATTAGACATGTATTTCCAATTTTCCATTGGACCAGAATTTTTTAAAGTCATCTTAAACTTAACACATTCAAAATTAGCTCTTGACACGCCTTTGTGCCCCAAACCTGCTCCTCCCACCATCTTCCAGTTACAACTGATAGCTCTTTCATCTTTCAATTACTCAAGCCAAAAAAAATTTTTTTAACTTAAATATAGTTGATTTACAATGTTGTGTTAATTTGTGGTATACAGCCTCATGATTCAGTTTTATACCCCACACACACACACACACACACACACTTTTTCATATTCTGTTTCATTATAGGTTACTATAAGATATTGAATATGGTTCCCTGTGCTATACAATAGAACTTTGTTATTTATCTATTTTGTATATAGTAGTTTATATCTGCTAATCCCAAACTCCTAATTTATTCCACTCCCCTCCTTTTCCTTTGGGTAACCATAAGTTTGTTTTCTATGTCTGTGAGCCTATTTCTGTTTTGTAAATAGGTTCATTGCATAAATTTTTTAGATTCCACAAAGACGCTTATGAATATACAGTTCTCTCTAACCTTATCTCCCACAATTCAGCAACTCACTTCGCTCCATGTATAGTAACCTCCTTGAAGGCTCTTAGACACATGTGAAATCCATCAAATACACCAACCACTCCCCTATCAGGTGTTTACACTTACTGTTCCCTCTGCCAAGAATACTTTTCCCCATTTATCTGCATAGGTATCTCCATCACCTTTTTCAGGTCTCTTCTCTGACAAGTATCAGAGAGACACTATATTTAAAATATGAACTCCACACGTACATGCACATATGTCCTTAGAAACACACAAGTGCACACACACATACACAGGTCCAGTACTGTGCAGACTGACGTATCTTTCTAGCTCTTGTGTTCAGTGACATTATGTTAGTAGCTAGAAATTGGTCATGGTAGAAGTATTTGCACCATGGGAATTGGCAAATGCTACAGATCTGAGGTTTTTGTTTATATGTTAAAATGTTATTGTAGTTTTATCTATAATAGAAATAATTGGAGACAAATAATGTTCATTAAGGGGAGAATGAAAACACATAGTCTTAGGTATTAGTTTTCCATTGCTACCATAAAAAATTATCATAACTTTCATAGCTTAAAACAATAGAAGTTTATCATCTTATAGTTCTGCAGGTCAGAAGTCCTAAAATCAAGGTATCAGCAGTGCTGCCTTCCTTCCTTCTGGAGGCTCTAGGGGAGAATCTGTTTCTTGTCCTTTCCACCTTTAAGGGGCGACTTCCATTCTTTGATTCAAGGCCCCTTCCTTCATCTTCAAAACACATCACTCTACCTTCTATTTCAATCAGCATATCTTTTTCTGACTCTGATCCTCCTGACTTCTAAAAATCCTTGTTATTACCTTGAGTTTACCCAGATAATCCAGGATAATCTTCCAAAGAGCCCTAACTTATGTCTGCAAATTCTCTTTTGCTGTGGAAGGTGACATTTTCAGATTCTAGAGATTAGGACATAAACATCTTGGGGGAGGAGTGCATTATTCTGCCTACTGCAGGCTCTCTTCCTGAACTTAATTCTAGAGTAGGACTGTTCAATAGAACTTTCTTCAATGATGGATATGTTTATATCTGCTATCTCCAATATAGTAACATGTGGCTATTGAGCATTTGAAATATGGCTATTATGACTAACAATATTAATGTTATTTAAATGTAATTAATTTACATTTACATTTACTAGCCACATGTCACTAGTGGCTACCATATTGGACAGTGATGTTAGAGCAAACTAATAAATGACTCTAACAATTAATTCTCTCCAACAGTTTTGTAGGAAGGTAGAAGCCAGGAAACAGGAATTAAAGAGAACTTTTAATTTATCTGCATTTTTCATACCTTTTACAATGCAAATACCTTTTGTTTTTAAATTTTTTACATATTTAAAAGAATACTTGAATAGAGTATGAGGGTAAAATTTTATTTATCCCTGTAATGAAGCATATCCTTACAGATTATCTGATTTGATCTTACCAAAACTGATATTGGTAGGGCTGGTATGGATGTTATTATTTCTATTTTACATGAAATTAAATGGTTAGAGAGTTTGAGTGGCCCAAAATAAAAGAGTTTATGTAGAAAACTTAAGGCATTTACCCCAGTGTTTTAATTTTCCAATATTATATCTTTAACTGTAAGAAAAGCATCTAAATTCTGCTTAATTGCTTTCCTAAAATAAAAATTTTAATTTATTTTTATTGATTTTTACCTTCATTTACTAAAGAGTCACAGAGTAAAACACTGAAAATTTTCATCATACTCTAAAATTTCAAAATGGTCTCATTCTCTTTTATGGTTTTTTAAGTTTATTTGATTTAAAGGGTTAAAAATCACAAGGCAGCAGCTATTGGAACCCTAATTGACACAGCTA